TCATGAGATCCCTAATAGTGTCAGAACCTCGGGTTGTGGTTAGGAATCAAGTCCATGCTCATGGACTAAAGTTGAATAGTCATTTTTGTTCAGGTCTCGAGTCGTTTCATGTTAAGGGTCAGGATCCAGGTCGTCCCGATTCAGGGGTTGGGGTAGGGGTTAGGCCTCTAGGGTCGACAACCAGCAAATATTTTTATTGCTTCAATAATTTCATCATTGTTTATTTTAGTCTTGTATTTTTCTTAAGCATGTTATGATAGAATAACCTGTAGTTGAGCTGAGGGTCTAAAGAAAACAACTTTTCTATCCCACAAAAATTACGAATAAGGTCAGTGTACGCTCCACATCCCTCAAAGCACTCTAAATATGTTGTTGTTTGTAGTCCTTGTACTTAAGGGTCTCTATTCAACGTCATTTGAGGTTAATTAAGCCATGAAGTGAAAATCGTTGTCCTCCTTTAATGAAAATGAATTTATTCAACTATATGCTCACATTATAAACAAAGATAATTATCCCAATATAACACACGAAAATTTCAAAGTTGTTGCACTAATTTTCTCCTTCTCATAACATTTCGAAAAAAATGACAGAGTTAGAATTTTTATTAAAAAAATAAATACAGAAATATGTACGACAACATTTAATATATATATTTTTTACGACCCCTCACGCCTCTTTAGATCCGCCCCTTAGTCTGAACAACATGTTCCACCTTTCATAAATTTGCATGTCCGATATCTAAGTGATTTATTGTACAACCAAAGATAAGATATACATTTATTTCAAAAAAAAAAATGTCGATTTATTTAAGAATCATAAATAGTATTGGGACTGTGATGACATCGTGGGGGATATCTCAACCAACTTATATATTGCAAAGTACATTGACATTTATTATTCAAAAAAAATATATGTCATGCTTCCCTCACAAATACTATTCATTTTGGCAAAATAATAAATGTATACCCCAATAATATCAAAAGTAGCTTCAATTATTTAGACACTAACGGGTCGTTTGGTAGGTCGCATTAGAAAAAATAGTTCATATATTATATATAGTATTATTTAGTATTATGTTTGATAGGATTTTGGGTTTATGTATAACTAAATTATAGGATGTATTACTAATACCTTCAATTTGGAGGTATTAGTAATACATAAGATATAATACCATAGGATAAGTCTATGTAAAGATAAAAATATTCCTCAAATCATTTTAATTATTTTGTTTATTTTCTTGATTTTATGTTTTATATTTGTACTAGTAAATTTATTTATTTAAATAATTTAGCTTACAAATTATTTAGAGAGGGTTGTTTGTTACTAAATAAATCCAATACAAATTTGAAATGTGAGTGGTTTAACATTTACTAATTGAAAAGGCAAATTTATCACTACATGACTTTTGTGATCTTAATTGAATGTATATATAGATCACTAATTATTTGTATTTTGAACAATTTAAAAAATTACGTACATGTTAAAACTACAAGTTGCAATTTTTATGTGTAAATGTGGATCGTTTATTCAATTTTACAATTGTTGGCCGTCTTTTTTATTTTAAAAGTAGATGGTTTATCTTTTTTGAATTGAAGATTGATATTTTGTAAGTGATCAATTTATTAACATGACAATTATTTATCCTCAAATAATTCAAGCAAAAAAATAGCAAACATGACAATAAAATTGTTCTTCTCATAGAAGGCCATAACAAAAACATTGTCTGGCAATTATGCACCTTGACCCAATTACAAAATAATTTAAGGGTATAATTGGAAAGAAACTTTTTATAGAGTTTTAGTTCAAACACAAGATGAGGTGGGAAACAAAGAATCAAACACTTGATAAAACTAAACTATGCATTACTAATCTCTACACTACTAATTAATTCCTACATTACTAAGCTCTACGTTACTAATCCCTACATTATTAAATTTTGTACCAAATGACCCCTAATACCATAGAACTTTAATGTTTGAGAACTACTTTTAAAAAAAAAAATCAAAGTTGATTTATATATATATATACACACTGATTTAATGTTTGAATACTTTTTTTTCTTCAAAAAAAAATCCTCCTTTTTTTTTCAATACATCAAGTTGATGTGCGATGAAGTGCTCCTTCCTTAATAAGAGGTTTCGGTTCATCTTGTGGATATAAAAAAAAATCTTGAATGGGAGCACATTTCCAAAATGGGTCCTAAGTAATGCAAATTCAGATTAATTGAGTTTTAAAACGGATAAAGAACACTACTAAAAAAAAAAGTTGATATATATACATACATACATACATACTCTGTACTTATAATTTTGTTTAGTTTGCATGAAACCAAGTTACCGCATACATGCACTTTAATACTATGTTATAATCAAGGACAGATCAACGACATTAGCTACGAGCTCGGCAGAACACAATAATTCTAGCTCAAACTTATATTATTTTGTATTAAAGACTTCACTTAATAAGAGTAAATAATTTATCTCGAACCATTAATAAGTTATTTCCTAGAATTTAGAATCCATTGACTTAAAATTTTGAATTCCATCTCATGAATATCAAAAAAAAAAATGTTGAAAAAATATTAATAATTGGAAGAACAGGGATTGGTATGGTATTGGAGGTGAACATACTGATAAAATATCTATGCAAACATCTCATGAATTAAGGTCAACTCTCGTGCATCTGCTACTTCTCATTAATATAGATATTAGATAATTAATTTATCTACGGAAACTTAAGCAAATAAAAAGAAATCATTTAATAATTTGTGCCTTGTTTATACTATTGATGTTTTTAGGTAGGGATGCCAATGAAGCGGGACGGATATAGGGTGGGCGGGTTTAAAGCTATGTGGGATGTGACTGGTTTAAGGTCATGTGCGGAGCGAGTGGGATGTGGGGTGGGTTGAAGTGGGTTTTTTTAAAACTAATTCGGGGCGGAGCGGATTGCGGCGGTATATGTGATTTTAGGTGGATTTAAACTTAATTTTCATTTTTTACATGTTAGTATAAGAGTGATAGAGCATTATTCATTAAGATAATTTCTTTTACAGCTACTAAAATATTCAAGATGGTAAATGAAAATGGTTCAAAATAAATAATCAATTTCTTACATGTTTTCTAATTGACCTCTGAAAAGTAAATTTTAAGTCACTATCCTATTAATTTAATACAACTCAATGAAAAAATGAAATTATTTTTATGAATTTTATTCTTAGTATCACTTAACTAGAAAAAGAAAAATATTTAAAAAATTATGCATGGCTTGTTCATGCGGAGCGCGTCTATGCGGGGCGGGTTGAAAATGAAAAAAAAATGTAATGCGAAGCGAGGCGGATTGAAAATTTTACGGGTTAAGCTCAACCCGCCCTGCCCCGCCCCTACCCCACACCGCCCCATTATCATCCCTATTTCTAGTTGTATATACCGTTAAAGCAAGGGCCAATAGTTTAAAACATTACTATGCCATGATTGGAGGAGGCATGATGAACGCAACATATATTTTTTTCTTCGTCAAAATGGTATTTGTGTCGGTTTATGCACACTTTCAACTGTTCTATCGATCGAGTATCTTTTCTATCTCTCATGACTAGCACAAGCATTAAATAATTTTGCCCATCAAAACGTAGAGAATCGCTACAAGAATTGAAATGTTAAAGAGTTCATTGCACTTCAACGGTGAATCAATTTCACTTCAAAGTACTTCGAACTAGTAAATTAAATCAAATAACGATGCAACGATGTTGTATGTATTTTGTATGTTCGTATGTATGTCATTGTATATCCAGTGATACATAAGACAATATGATCGCGTATACCCGCCATACATATAAAAAATACACCAAACATACACAATATACCAAACATATACTCACACACCCAATAAAACTTATACACATGATATACAAATAACATATACTCGATATACGGTTCGATGTATTATTCCACCATCGGACCACCACCAGAAAATTCACCATACCCGTCACCAGTACACATGTTATTATTTTGGTATAATTAGTTAAATGTTGTTATGTTTTGTTAATAAAGTACAAATATTCCTATTAATATAGTTTATTGAGCTTGAATATGGTGTTGAACGGTCCAACTAAAACTAAAGGGTAACCAAGAATCTTATATTATGATGATTTCATTTGGAGTTGAGTCCATTCAAGGAGGCCCATTTGAAAATGATAATCTTATGCTTCCTTCATATTAACTTACGTAATTTTGTTTGATTTGATATAAAATTTAAGATTTTTTAATTTCTTTTTAAAATTCATGATTAAAATAAATTTTGAATATTTATATGAGTATAATTACAAGGCACAAGAGAAACACGCCATATAATTCGGGGTGTACACAGGGCGATTTGGATTAGTTATTGATCAATCAAATTAATTTAGTTAGTTCTAAAATTATATAAAATTCAAATCAAATCAAATATAATATATATTTAGATTTGATTTGGTTCTTCAGTTATTAATCATACACGAAAAAAATGTTCATTCAAAAAAGGGGAAAAAGACAAGAATTTACTCAAAAGGAAATGAATCGTCTTCACGTCATTTTGGATAATATAATTCTTATACCCAAATTCCAATTATGTTTTACGTTTGCTTCTATTGTTAGCTAGTCCAATGTACTAAACATCATAAACTAACTAAACAATGCATAAACTATCGATATTGCTAGACAAATAAAAGACGCATCATACCTTATTCTTTTTCATCAATATGTCGCATTATTCACATAAAAAATTGTTCAAAAATATATATATATTATGTATATATAATTATACAACTTGACTCGGCAATAAGTTTGTAGGAAAAGAAAAAAAAAAGTTATACAACTAGAAATTTTAAATCATACTTCTTGGTGAATTTATAATTTCAAATCATGATTCAAAATCAAACTTCGAAAGTTTGTTCACATTTCATAAAGTAACATTGATATCAAATCAAAACGCCTCCCAAGTGATTTCTTCTCATTTGCTCTAGTTTTGAAGATTAGAGTTACTCAATACATGTATTGAAAGGAAGTAACATTTACCATTGAAATAATCGAGATGCACACAAACTAATCTGACCACGAAAAGGAGGGAAACTATAAACAAGGAATATTGACTACTCACATTGTAATGCCAGTATTACATGCCTTACAAATGAAACCCTTTCCACCTTTGAAAACTCTTGAATTCATTTCCTTGAGACATTGCCATACCAATTCCACTTCTTCCATCTTTCCCAATCCCTCTATAATACAATCTCCATTCATGATCTTGATCATCTCCATCCATTTCAACAAGATATGGTGATCCCACCCCTTCACTATCCCACCCCCCTTCTTCACATCTCTTCAACAATGGATCATTTTCTTCAACTCTTCTCCATCCCTTTAATCCATCAGAAGATAATGCCATCCCTATACTCCTCCTCCCATTTCCATCCACACCTTCATAAACCATCAAATACTTCCCATCTTTTCGATTTCGTATAACATGTGGATTCAACACTCCTAGTTCATCAAAACCACCAATACCTCCTCCTCCTATAATCTTCCCTAGCTTTAACCATTTCATTCCATCTCTTGACCTTGCTATCCCAATTGCAAAACACCCTTTTTCAACGTCATATGAATGGTAATACATTCTTAAATCGCCATTACTATGGTAAACTACCTTTGGTGAACCTATAAACAAAGAATCCCATTCACCATCTAAACCAACATCAAATAAAGCACCAGAATGATGTTCCCCTTCAATTCTTGCCCAATGCCTACCATCTTGACTCATTGCTAATCCGGGCAACGACTTATAAATCTCTCCATCTCCATTCCCAAATCGCGGTCTATCTGAATCTTCTAAAGTTTCAATCTTTTCAGAACCAAAACCAGTATAGTAAAGCCAATAAACAGAGCTATTAGCTCGTACTTTAGCACTTGACATAATCACAACCTCACATGGCCTAATACTTTGTGTATCAAAACCCCACCAATTATCACCACAATTCAACACAATTTCACCTCTTTCCCAATGAACCCCATTACTAGAAACAGCTAAACCAATTGAATCTTTACCATTACTACCCCTCCCATGGTACCACATGTACCATCTCTCTTCATCATCACTAAGGTATCTTTTCACTACAGGTGAACCAATTTCAGAGCTATCCCAAGAATCTTTTTGCCCTAAATCAAAAACTAAACCCCGCGAAAACGATGAAATTGAAGGAGGTGGAGGTTGATTTGAAGTGGGTTGTGGTTGGATTCTTGAAATTGGGTCATTTAACAAGGATTCATCTGCTGCATTTCCTTGATTTGTGTTTGGTTTTGAACTGGATTGAGCTGGAAATAGTCTAATTCTTTTGGTATTGACTTGTTGGAAGATGGGTTTGGGTTGAAACCATGTGGGGGTTGGTAAAAATGTTAGCTTGGTAATTCTTGCTGGAGATGTAATGGAGTTTATGGATTTGAGAGCTGCCATTGTTGATTGGTTTGTATAGTATTGTAGACAAAGAAGGTAGAAATGAATGGCCAGCAAGAAACTGATGCACCATTCAGTATTTAACACCAAACATAATTAGTACTTTTTTACTTTTCGAAGAAAATTAACTTATGTATGTTGAAATCTTAGCGCCTAGCTCAGTTGATTGTTTATCTAAATTTTCATCTTATGAAGGGCTCATTTGACCATGCGATATAATATCATGAGATGAAATTGAAGTTTTGTTTGGACATGCTATATAGAATTTTTGTGTTGTATATTTTCTTATAAACATAAAAATCTCATAAAAGTTGTAAAACTATTAAAATAGTCCAAATTGTTTATTCAATCTTATCAAATAAACAATAATTTATAAAATTGCATAATAAATTATTACAAAGTTATTTGTTCTCCACTTAAGTAATTGTTTCATTTAACTTTAATTTAATTAAAAAAATTGATCATAAATTGTAGTGTACTAGTCTTTAATATAATCCTCCCACATAGTACGGACAATTTCCTCACGTTGAACTTGAATTTCTCGACCATGTGACCGAGAAGACGAACCAACATTGTTACTTTGAGCCATTTGTTGGTCAATATCATCTGCAACTATATTTTCATGCTTATAGACCATAAATATTTCATTAGTATTTTGGTATTCTCGCAAATAATTATTTAACACTGCATAAACTATGACAATTTTCACTTGTGTATCAATATCATAATGGTTCATGCCTTATTTCAGTATTCTAAATCTATTTTTCCAAGCTCCAAAAGTCCGTGCAATCACATTGCGCAGAGGTGAATGCCTATAATTAATTAAACAGTTCTTTGGGATTTTGAGGCTCTCTTTCACTTCCTCGGTAATCTTGCAAATGATAGTGTAGTCCTTTGTGTGGAGCTAAAAATCCTTTTGTGTTTTGGAAACCAGCATCAACAACATAATATTTATCTACCAACAAACATTTTATAAAGAATTACTAAAAGCATATGTGACGTAAATGAGACAGTTTTGTGTAAATAAATAATATTTATTCTAAGGATGTAATTTAAAGTTACCATATGGCGGAAATGGAAATTGTGACGTTGGTTCAACAAGTACATTCTCAAGTACTTTACTATCATATGCAGTACCTTCCCAACTAGCATCAACAAAGGTAAATTACATATCAAAATCACAAGCACATAAGACATTTTGTGATGTTCTTCCTATGCGATTACGATATGTTTGTTGCACCGCTTTAGGAACCCCCCCCCCCCCCCTTCTATATATGTTCCATCAATCGCACCAACACAATCATATCAAATAAAAAATACATCAATATTAGTTTAGTGAACATAAAATAAATTGGACGCATTATAGAATGCACTTTATAAAAATAATGTTTGTAAGAGTAATAAAAATAGTGTTTCCAAGACAATGCATAGTCATTAAATAAATATTATCTCTTTAAACAAAGTTGATAGGAAATATGTAACTAAATACTAATAACTTACACATAAAATATAAATGTGCACTTATTAAGGCCATGAAGTAAATTTATTACTCAACAATCGGTTGGTGTGAGTTAAAGTGACTATATGTTGGTGAGAATAATAAATTTTATATCGGTGAGAATAATAAATTTTAAAAAGTAATGATGTGATTATAAATTTTATTTACATATGAAATAAAGGGTTAGTAGATATAAATGTGGGGTTGTTTTTAACAAAATGTAAACTCGTGGATCAATTTTTGTATTAAAATATCTCAAATAATGATATGGAATTCTCATATAATTCCATATCATGGTTTTTGGAGAATATGGAATCATGAGATGGAATCAGCGTAAAATCGCATTTCCAAATGCTGATTCCATCTCACGATACCATATCGTGATATGGTATCGCATGGCCAAACGCCTACTAAGAAAGGTTTATTCTCACTTTATAATCCGTTCCTCCGTCTTAACACAAATGTGAATATAGTGTTAGCATATATTTAACAATTTGAATGGTTGAATACTCACATGAAAGGCGCACCTCTTGCACTCTTTTCGTTTCATATTAATTGTCATATTTCACTTTTCGAGAGTTAGCTTTACTAATTTTTGAAGATAAATCAAACTAGATTAATTCAATATTTAAAAAATTATAATTTCAATACTCAAAAACTATGCCAAAAAGAAGTACTATATATTACAATTTATCATATAAATATAATTAAAAAGAAAGTACATTTTAAAGTATTTGTTGAACTCATGTAATTTAACTTTTCAAAAAGTGAAATATTTTATACCAAATAGAGTATTTATTAAGATGATGTAACTAACAATAGAGTAGCTATTACTATAGTCAAAGTGCCACAACCGAAAGTGAAAATGAAAAACAAAAGATAAATAAAGTGAAAAAAGATTTCAATTGCCTACTTTGCTACTCAACCTCAAGGAAGGTATATTTACCCATATTACGATTGCCTCACTATTAAAGGTTCGTTTTTGTAAATTTATATTCCCGTCGTATAACCCTTTTTTTTAGAAAAAAAATTATTAGATTTATTTTAGTAAAATGATAAGTTTATTTATATATATTAACATATTCAGGCTCTAGACTGGTACGTGAAAAAGTTAAATGCACTGAATAACAATATGATAAGGGAAGTATACTCTAACTCACTCTGGTCGTGGCCAATATTCTATAAAGAAGTGGTTGCCGTAGTTTGAAGTGCCATAGTTTATCACACATGGAGGGCAAGAAACTAGAAAGTTGTATAGAGGCACAATTATTAATAGTGAGATAGTAGTTGCACAAATAAAAACAAAATTTACAGAGAGAATAACATTGTTCAGAGGATCTAAGAAAGCTCATAGATTTAGTAGGTTGATTCAACATTTTCTCATGTAACTAGTTTCTTGTCCAAAAGACATAGAACCTTCTTAGAAGGTGGCTATGAATTTAGGTGCTCTATAAATGTAATGACCCTTTTGTTTGTTAATGGTATTTTAGTTTACAAAAACTATATCAAATAATTATGTAGGTTTTCAATTTTATAAAAATGAACAATTTTTTTTATTAAATCATACCAAATTTACTTATATATGTATAAATATATGACACAAATATGATTAATTGCAATATATCTTATCGAGAATAAGTTATTATTTTTATGAGGAAAATAAAATTTATCCTAAAATATCATAATGAAGACATGCATAAACTCAAAGTGTGAATACAAACAAATGATTTGCTTTGATTAAAATCCGATTACACCATTTATCAAAGCTGACATAGAATAGAAGTTTTTGTAGGACCTTATCATTTGTTTAGTGATCAGGTCCATTGCAGTTAACTCAACGAGGCATATTTCACCCCAATGGACAAGTACAAGTAATATTATAGAGACAATTTATACTTATTTGGCCTAAAGTGATGCATTGATTATAGCTTCAACATGATTAGATGTAAAATCGACTTTCTGAGATCGAAACTATAGAGAATCTAAGCTAAAATGATGATAAATTTATTGTATTACCTCTTGCATGGCATCAAAATAGGATATATATTATTTTTCTTATACATCCTAACTAAAAGGAAAACAAATATATATATCCTAAACTTCCAATGAAAGTAAATATTCTACAGAATTTTTCTAAGTAAATAAAATATTCTACATTAATATAAATCCTAAAACAAAAAAAAGTAATTATTATAAAATATCTCTAAATATATTTTAACATTTCCCCTCAACTTGAATTGGAACACTTTTATTTCTTCTTAAATTCAATTTCTTTGAGTCTTTAAGTATTTGTCAGCTTCAATTGAAACATGTTCAAAAGTTTTGCTCTCTATTGAGATTAATACATATAACTATTAAATATAATATATATTTAAGTAATTAACTTATCCACGTAATAAATACTTGAAATCACATATAAAGTTTTTTAAAAAAATTGAATCACTGCTAACATAAACATTTTTATCATGAATTCAAGTTTCTCAATTGAAACGAACTTGTGACTTAAATGTCTCAATAAAATTCATTAACATATTTAACTAAACAATAATCTTATATTAGAGAAATGCAATTAAGTTATATCACAATCTTTTTTAATATTAATAATAAATAGATTGATAAAATTGTAAAAAATAACCAAAAAAAAAAGGGATAAGGGTCTGAAAAATACTCCAACTTTGGTCAGATTTGCTGTTGCGATACTAAACTTTCATGAGGACCTATTACCTCCCTAGACTATTTAATACCGTATTTTAAACATATATATTTGCCCACGTGGACATAAAAAATAATGCAAAATTATAAATAGTAATGTGTCCACGGGGCACATATATACCTTTAAAATACACTATTAAATAGTTCAGGGAATAAAAAATATGGTATTAAATAGTCTAGGGAGGTAATAGGTCCTTATGAAAGTTTAGTATCTCAACAGCAAATCCGACCAAAGTTGAGGTATTTTTCAGATCCTTATCCCAAAAAAAAAAAAGACAAATATGATTTTATGGAAAAGATTTTGTAGAAGTCAATTCTATTTCACCCAAAAAAGAATAAAAAGAAGAAGAAGTCAATTCAGTTTACTTATTTTTCCATTTTCTTCTCCACAACCTCACTTCTCTGAAACAAACTCCTCCAGCGTTATATTACCGGAACCAATTGAACCGGCACCGGAGAGAAACCAAAAAAACCGTTCGCCGGAGAGAAGAGAGGGCGTTAATCGGAGAAGCCCTCTCAATCTCCGATCACAAAAAAACCCCTAAAATTGCTATTGATTTCATCATCGCAATCGTTGAATCATATGGTTAACATATTTTCAATTTTTGATGCGCCGATCCAATGCCCGTAAAATAAATCGTGTTGATAACAAGAGTAAGACAATGGAATCGGCTAAATTGCAATACCGACCAAGTAGATCTTCTCATCGGAGTCCTAATCGGAATAGTTCTAAATCGAAATCGAGAATCTTTTGTTATACTTCGATAGTGTTTGTTATTGCTTTTTTATGTTATGTTTTTGTGTT